TGGCACTCAAAGCAGTGCCTAGTGACCTTTGCGTGGCCCCATGCCTCCGACATCCGGAACGCTCAAAAAAAGGGTAAGGCCGAGAGGGTTTGAACTGTGCGATTTCCAACTTGTGGAACGGATTTTTTTTTGTTTCTCTTTCTCTCTCTCTCTTGCTTTCTCCACATATGCGTCGGCTCGGAGAGCAGGAACGAAGGAGTCGACATCCTTCTCCTTTCACTTTTTCTTTTATTTTTTGTTGCTGTTTTGCGAGGTTTGATCAGCCAACCACAGCTTGAACCTTTTTCTGTTGCCCTCGCAGGTGGGAATCACCTCGCGAGCGCTTTGTTGCTTTCGACCTGTCGCGTCGCCCTTGTACCACCGCATGTGCAGCATTTCTTTTGCATGTGTGGTGTGCAAAGCCGCTGTGGACTCCTTGAATTCTCTACTTCTCGTGTAGCTATATCTAGCGTCAAGAAGCGGAAGACCCTTGACTTTGCGACGAAGTTGAAGGCTATTTCGAGGCGGGCGAGAAATGTTCGACCATGGCGGACGACTTCGAGATACCACAGAGCATTTGAGTACCTTGTTAAAAAACAAGGCAGATATCAAAGCAAAGGCAGTAAACGTAGGGAGCCTGTCATGTGCACTGTTCTGCCCATGGGAATGTAAAAAGGGCACTTTATGCCAGGTTTTTAGCAGTGTGGGTGAATAACATTCCGGTGGATGGCCCGATGCTAATTGCCAAGGCCTAATGGTTTGCCACCGCAGGGGTGCCTGCGCAAGTAGGCGTTTGGTGTGTAGCGACACCACGAACCCGAGCTAACGGGGGAGTTTCGACTCCCTCCCACGCCTAGCCGTGCGTGGCTTTGCCGTGTCCGAGGAAAAGGGGATCCTGGGGGTTGAGCCAACGCTGGGTGATTGCACCGTTAAAGCCCCCCGGCAGGGGCAACACACCCCTTTGGCCCCGGCTTCACGTAGACGGCACCCCTGAGCTGACCCACCCAGGGGAATCGGCAGTCGCCTTTTCCTATCTCTCTCTCCCTACACCTTCGTCTTTATCTCTTACTATTTATCTGTCCTGTCTTCTACTCTCTTCCGTTTACTTCCAAACTTCCTGGCGGCTAGGGTTAACCCTGTGCAAATAGCCTACCTTGGTCTAAGCGCATTGGGTTATAGTGGCGTTGTATGGCTGGCGTCTGCAGGTTTCAGCATTTGTAAACTTGTAGCGTCCCCTCGTTGGGCTCCGTGGTGGTGGCCGCCAACGCTGCTGAACAACAATAAGGAAGACATGCATGGAGCATTCCCACTACTGTCTGATCGTACCGGCTTAAAGCCGGTACGCATCGATGATCTCACCAGAGAAGGATTGGCCACCCTGGTGCAGTATCTGGCCACCCCCTCCCGTAGGCATTGGCCAATTAACTCACGGCCCTCAGTCCCCACCAGCTGCGGAGCAACTGACCACGGCGGCGGTCAGATCTGCAAAGCAGCAGAGGGTGCTAGGAATCTCTGGATACGGACAGGCCACCATTGGAACTTGAACTTAGCAACGTTTAACGTTAGAACGTTATCTAGTGAGGGAAGTCTAGCTGTATTATTCGAGGAGCTAGAAGGCATTAAATGGGATATAATAGGGCTGAGTGAGGTTAGGAGGACAGATGAGGCCTATACTGTGCTACAGAATGGGCACGTCATTTGCTATCGGGGCTTGGCAGACAGAAGAGAACTGGGAGTAGGGTTCCTAATTCACAGAAACATAGCTGGCAACATAGAGGATTACTATAGCATTAATGAAAGGGTGGTAGGCATTGTAATTAAACTGAATAAAAGATACAAAATGAAGGTAGTACAGGCTTACGCGCCTACATCCAGCCATGATGACGCTTCAGTTGAAAGCTTCTATGAAGACGTGGAATCGGCAATGAGTAAGGTGAAAACACAGCATACTATAGTAATGGGCGACTTTAATGCAAAGGCAGGGAAGAAGCAGGCTGGAGACCAGGCAGTAGGAGATTATGGCATCGGCACTAGAAACGCCAGAGGAGAGCTACTAGTAGAATTCGCAGAACGCAATAATCTGCGTATTTTAAATACCTTCTACCGAAAACGAGAAAACCGCAAGTGGACATGGAGGAGCCCTAATGGCGTAAATAAGAACGAAATAGACTTTATAATGACTGCACACCCAGGAGTCGTGCAGGATGTGGAAGTGGTTGGCAAGGTAAGATGCAGTGACCATAGAATGGTACGGGCTCGAATCTGCCTAGACTTGAAGAAGGAACGACAGAAACTGATACGCAAGAAGCCAATCAATGAGCTAGCACTGAGAGGGAAAGTACAGGAATTCAGAGTGTCACTGCAGAACAGGTACTCTGCTCTTAGCGAGGAAACCAACCTTAGCGTAGATACAATGAATGATAATCTGACGAGTATCATCACGGAGTGTGCAGTGGAAGTTGGAGGCAGGGTAGCTAGACAGGACACCAGCAAGCTTTCCCAGGAAACGAAGAACCTAATTAAGAAGCGTCAAATCATGAAAGTGTCAAGTACAACAGACAAAATAGAACTGGAAGAGCTTTCGAAGCTGTTTAATAGACGTAAAGTATGCGATGTAAGAAGGTATAACATGGAGAGAATTGAGCACGCTCTGAAAAACGGAGGAAGCGTCAAAGCAGTGAAGAGGAAACTTGGGATAGGCAAAAGGCGGATGTATGCACTAAGGGACAAAGAAGGCAAAATAACTACCAATATGGATAGGATAGTTAAAATAGCGGAGGAGTTTTACAGAGATCTGTACAGTAGCCGAGACAACCACGACCTTAATACTATAAGAACTAGCAGTAACCCAGACGACACCCCACCGGTAATGATAGAAGAAGTCAGAAAAGCTTTGGAGAGCATGCACAGAGGCAAAGCTGCTGGTGAGGATCGGGTAACATCAAATCTGCTGAAAGATGGAGGACAGATTGTGTTAGAAAAACTAGCCACTCTATTTACGAGGTGTCTCCTGACGGGAAAAGTACCAGAGTCTTGGAAGAACGCCAACGTCATCTTAATACATAAAAAAGGAGATGACAAGGACTTGAAGAATTACAGGCCGATCAGCTTGCTCTCTGTAGTATACAAGCTATTTACAAAGGTAATTGCTAGCAGAGTAAAGAAAACATTAGAATTCAATCAACCAAAGGAACAAGCAGGATTTAGAACAGGCTACTCAACAATTGACCACATTCATACTATCAATCAGGTAATAGAGAAATGCTCAGAGTATAACCAACTGTTCCTGATACATAGACTTCATAGATTACGAGAAGGCACTTGATTCAGTAGAAATATCAGCCGTCATGCAGACACTACGGAATCAGGGCGTAGATGAAATATATATAAACATTCTGGAAGAAATCTACAGGGGATCAACTGCTACCATAGTGCTTCATAAAGAAAGCAACAGAATACCAATAAAGAAGGGTGTAAGGCAGGCGGACACAATCTCCCCAATGCTATTCACTGCGTGCTTACAGGACGTTTTCAGAAGCCTAGAATGGGAACAGTTAGGGATAAGAGTTAATGAGAGTACCTCAGTAACCTGCGCTTCGCCGATGACATTGCATTGCTGAGTAACTCAGGGGACGAATTGCAACTCATGATTACGAAGTTAGACAAGGAGAGCAGAAAGGTGGGTCTTAAAATTAATCTGCAGAAAACAAAAGTAATGTACAACAACCTCGGAAAGGAGCAGCACTTTGCGATAGGTAATAGTGTACTTGAAGTTGTAAAAGACTATGTCTACTTAGGGCAGGTAATAACCGCAGAGCCTAACCACGAGATTGAAGTAACTAGAAGAATAAGAATGGGGTGGAGCACATTCGGCAGGCACTCTCAAATTATGACAAGAAGATTGCCACTGTCCCTCAAGAGGAAGGTATATAACAGCTGTATCTTGACGGTACTTAGCTACGGAGCAGAAACCTGGAGATTCACAAAGAGGGTTCAACTTAAATTGAGGACGACGCAACGAGCAATGGAAAGAAAAATGGTAGGTGTAACCTTAAGAGACAAGAAGAGAGCAGAGTGGATTAGGGGACAAACGGGAGTTACGGATATCATAGCTGCAATAAAGAAGAGGAAATGGACATGGGCCGGGCATGTAGCACGTAGACAGGATAACCGCTGGTCATTAAGGGTCACCAACTGGATTCCCAGAGAAGGGAAGCGGGGTAGGGGGAGACAGAAGGTTAGGTGGGCAGATGAGATTAAGAAGTTTGCGGGTATAAATTGGCAACAGCAAGCACAGGACCGGGTTAACTGGCGGAACATGGGAGAGGCCTTTGTCCTGCAGTGGACGTAGACAGGCTGATGATAATGATAATGAGCAAAGATAATTTTAAAAACTTTTCCAACATTTTGTCATAGCGCATAGCCTCTGTTTCTTCGTAGGTTTTCTGTGTTACTTAGTGTAAACATTTGCATAAAGCCAATATGATAAATAATCGCCAAAGAAAATCATTTTTTTAAAAAGCACCCAAATTGAATGAAAAATTTTCCCATAGTTTCATGCGGCTAAACATAGTGTGCCTTGGTTAATGTAGTAATAAACATTAAAAGCAAGAACAGATCGTAATATTAAGATTATTAAAATGTTTCACGGCAGCAGATCAGATCGGCAATAACCTGTCCATTAATTAAACGGCAAATGATAGTTTCACATCTGTTTGCAAAGGGTCCAATGCATGTGAACATTCGAAAAAAATTGCGGGAAACTAAACCGCTTGAATTTTTATGTGCATCATTTAATTATCTGTATTCTCAGCAAAACCAGAGACTGTTGAAAGAGCATCTGGCACACTTTAGTTAACACGATCCATTATGTAGCACTCTCAAAGGGACATTGTCGCAATCAATCCAGTCACGAATAAGACGGTCATTTAAGTATCAATCGTGAAAGAAAAGCGGACTTGTGAAACCTGGCCCTTGTTTTGGGAACATACAACTGTTCACCCTTGCAATTACAAAGCAACTCACCCAGCAGAGAGTTTTATTGAAGCACAAACTTCACTGATGCGGTCATTATCGCTCATGCTGAACGAGGTGCCTTTTTAGGCGCATCTTATGCCTAAACGACTGGAGGCACGAAGGGCACTGATATGGCCGTTCATCTGAGTGGGTGCGCAGGTGTTCGTCCAATGCGGACCTTTGTTTGAAGGTACACGGGCACAAATTGCAGTGATATGGCCGCTCGCCTGTATGAACCCTGATGTGATCTTTCATGTGGGATGAATTATCAGTCTTTTAGTCACACAAGATACAGTGATATCGGCGTCCCCTGTGCAACTTCTCTCCATCTGTAGTTGCTGGTTCGGAGAAAAGCACCAAAACTGCAAAAAAAAAAAATAAGACAATACACTCAGGTTTTACATTTCATTTGAAGATAAAGTGAATTTAAGTTATATGAATTTATCTGGGAACAGCATGTTACTATTACGAGTCGCGCTATAGCGAGAAAATATGGATTAAGTTAGAAACATCATAGACTCCTTAGCACATACCTAAACCCAAGCAGACAAGTATTCTAGCATTTCACCCCAATAGCAATGAATATATTGTGGCTGTGTAGTGTAAAAAACAGTGTAATTTATTTAGTGTGATAAAAAACACCGCAGTGATCATGTGACAGACGGTTCTTTGGTTCGACAATGTGTTTGTGTGCATGACAAAAATGAAAATCCTCAACAGTATAAATATAGGGAATAGGCAACAACGGCAGAAAATCTCGCTTGAAGAGAACGCAGATGTAACAGAACTATACCCCAAAATGAGAAGACCATATCTTATAATTTACCAAGCAACTATACGGAAGGCACTAGTAACACACATGTACACGAAGTAAGAAACGCACAATGTCTTACAAAAAGCAACATTTCACTAATGAACAAGTGCATTCCTACAAGCTTGTTAACTTATATTTGATGAGCATGATTTGAGTAGTATCGAGGGAACCTGAAGTTATACAAAGATGCTTCAATGTACTCTTATACAAAATGCTATTCGTTAACTATAAAATTGGAAAATAAGACTGAAGGAGTCTAGTGTAACTACGAAGTTGAAAAATTGCCAAGGTAGTAGGGCCTACAGGAGCACAAGGAAATAGGTGCTTTTATCAGTGCTTACACTGTCAATTTTTCTTACAATTCAAAAAAAGTACTCAACTCCTATACAACATGGCATCCACGTTGGTTCTAACTTAGCACATACACAACTAGTGCCTCCATACAGGAGGCACTGGTAGAACCAGTGCCTCCTTTATAACTTTCAGTGCCCGCTAAAAGCGGAAGAAACTATTCCGTCGGCGCGAGTGCGGTGCCTCGCCACCAGGTGCCGCTGCCTAAACAGGGTGCCAGAGATCGCTACGTGCCGCAGCCGCCGTGGTTCTGGCTCCACGCTCAAAATGAAACAGATTAAATACTTAATGTTCTGCGCTTAAACCTCAATATATCGCGGCTGTAATCGCTGAATTATATTACCAAGTGTTTCAGAGATCTGGATGCCAGCTTTCACGCACTAGCCACAAGCGAAGAACGCCACGCTAAATGAATAGCAAGAACATGCCGCGTACGCACACACCTACATGCTTGGACATGATGTACATGAATGTCTAACGTTGACTTGCCATGCATAGCGACAGGGGCTTTTTCTCGAAGTACTTAAAAGCATCGTGCTTGTCAATGACAGTGAATGCATAGTTCACCAGCAGAAGCTGCAGAAACCAACAGATATCAGCTTCATGAGCTTAGCTCTGTGACTGTCATCCATCTCCTTGCACTTGAGCAGGTTTGAAGCACACAGTGCTGGCACAGCATACTTAACCAGGGTAGACAATGGCTTTTTTAGAGTCGGATTGTCCTTCAGAGCACGATTCGCAAATTCCCTCAGCACGTCAACGGCAAACAGCAACTGGTCTGACAGGTAAAGTAGCCCACCTCGGTCCTGGCTGCAAGTGAAGTGCAAGATAGGTTGATTCCTCGCTGGCTTTGTGCAGACTGCAGTGCAACTTCCACAACACATGTGCTCGTTTATGACGTGGGCAATATAGCCCCCAACATAAACAGTTGCAGAAATCTCAAGTGACGGCAAGTGCTGGGGCAAGACTGTTGCAATGAGCCGTTGCAATACACATGCAGCTGTCTGTAGCTGAGGCGGCTGTTGTGCTATCGAAGGAGAAGTTTCAGTGAGCAGTGTGCCTGTTGACATTTGGGCACATTCTCTGTGTGCAAGGTTTGATGCCATGCTGGATGCGGCAAGTCCAGTTTTTAAAACCTTCTCCAGCCCTTGCAAAACAGAACGAACATTCAGCATGTCATTGCAGCGAGAGTACATCCGCAGTGTTCCAAACAGCGACTTGATGGGGTCACTATTAAACTTACGAGTGAGCACAAACAAGAACTTCTCCTCTGTGAGCAGGTACTTGATACAGACAACTGCGGAATATGTGGTCAGGAGGAATGCTTCATACATTTCTTTCGTCTAAAATTTCTTTTGACTTCGACAGCTTTTTTCCAGTTCATCCAAGTACATGAGCAGCGTGAACTCGAGCCACTCCAGTCTTGCACCTTCAGCATCGTCAAACTGCTGAGTGTCAGGCCATTTTTTGTGGATGTGCTGGGTCGTATTGCTTGTACCAAGCAGCACGAACCAACGATGAATGTTTTACATGAAAATGATGGTCTGGCCTGCAGCTGCGAATGATACACTCGATGTATGCCCAGCTTGGTCTCTGAGATGCTCCAGGGCTGCAGTAACATCAGGCGAGAAGACCTGAATTGCCCTTGCGACATTCATTTTTTCTATGTTATTCGGATAGACATGTTTTCGGCTGAGGTAGCGGACAGGCTTTACAACCAGGTCGTTCTGTAGGTCGTAGAGCTTCTTGATGTAGCAGGATGAGACCTCTCCTTTCGGACTAATGTCGTGGGCCAGAAACTGCGAGCGCCCGTTTTTTTTTTTTTTTAATGTGGCATGGATGAAAACTTAGAAAGAGGAGCCTGTCGCAGTCACAGGGATGTTCTATCTGGTACGTAAGAAGACCATCGCCCAAAAGTGTGATGCCATTGACGTTCACTCTGTGGTTATCAATATATTTGGCAAAAAACTGAACGTCCATGTTAAAACAATAGAAAGAATTCATAGATTGGGCAAGCAACGGCCGGGGCATATTAGACCAGTCATAATGAGGTTCTACGATTTCAAAGAAAAAGATGCTATACTCCGAAACTGCAGCAAACTAAAGGGAACTTCTATTAGCGTGAGCAATGATTATTCGAAGGAGACGGTCGCGGTGCGGAAAAAGTTGTACGTGGGACAGCGCAGCTGCGGACAGGGGCAGCGGAAAGAAGGTATCGCTAGTTTATGACAAATTGAAGGTAGGCGAAAGCTTATTTACTTGGGACTACAACCGAGATGAACGCCAACCATATCGTAAGGAGCGATATGATAAAGGATCGCCGGCAGCAACGCGCAGCTCTGACAGCGTTGGCGGCGCCCCGGTGGGAGGGGCAGTGGCTGCACCGTCACATGCGTAGCTAGTGCTTCTCCTGTTCAATGCTCGTAGTCTTGTTAATAAGGTAACTGAACTCGAACATTTATTGCTGTCGAGATCTCCCTCTGTGGTGATCGTAACAGAGACTTGGCTAAACAACGATATTCCGAATGATGTGGTTGTTCCTCCTGGGTACAGAGTGTTTCGCTGGGACAGAAATTCCCGTGGTGGGGGCGTTGCAATTGTCATAAAAAAATGTATCTCAGCAGTTCCAATTAATTGCAATTTATCGGAATCTGTATGGTGTAAATTTACGTACGCGAACACCAATTACCTTATCGGAGCCGTATACAGACCACCTGCCACTTCGCCCGAGTTCCTGGAAGACCTTCAGACGTTTTTGAACTCAAATGTAAACAAGACAACAAAATTAGTCCTGGCCGGAGACTTTAACCTACCAAATATAGACTGGATTTCTTTATCGGCCGGTAATAAGGATGCTACTAGCAGCGAAAAGTTATTTGAAATAATGATCAGCCATAACCTAACCCAAATTGTTCAACAGGCCACTAGAGTAACATCGGGTTCTCAGTCACTGCTAGACCTGGTATTCCTTTCGGGCACTATAGAGGACTTCAGTGTTACGGTCGAAGACGGCATATCTGACCACAAACTGATTTCGGTTGAGATTCTATGTGGTACAAAACCTGGAAAACGACCCTTCGTTCGGGTGCCTGTTAGTGACTACGGCCGGGCAGATGACACGTCAATATTAGACTTTTTGGAAACTGCTTTTGATGATTTCAAGCAAGCCTCTGATAGCGAGCCAGTTGATTGTTTGTGGCAGAAATTCAAATCAATAATTAACAGCTGTATAGAAAGGTTTGTTCCCATTCGATTGAAAAAAACAAGGAAGACTAACCCCTGGATCACTAGAGATGTTATCCACACTAAACGCAAAATAAAGAGATTACGCAAAAGACAAGGCCACTCTGAGCAGATTTCCCAACTACGAGCAGCGTTGAAAATCCAGATCTCCAAGTCCAAAAAAAAGTTCTTCAATGAAACGCTTTCTGGGTTCTTGCGCACTTCGCCTAGAAAATTTTGGCTATACTTGAGCGATAGGAAAGAAGCGATTGAACATATCGCGGTTGGCTCTGATGTTGTAACCCAGAAACAAGATATAGCTAATGGTTTCAATCGCTTTTTCCAATCTGTATTTACAAAGATGGCAGTCACGGATGAAGATAAGGAAATGGCCGATACTTGCACATGCGCCATGGATCCAGTTTCATTTGATCAAGCGGGCGTGTTTCAGCAGCTACTTAATTTGAACGAAAAGAAGGCTAATGGACCGGATGGAATACCAACTGTGTTTTTGAGGCGGTATGCGGAGTGGATGTCGTTTTACTTAGTCATTATCTTCGAAAAATCACTCTTGACACATTCGCTTCCAAAAGACTGGCTGAGCGCCATTGTGAAACCGGTATTTAAAAGTGGCGACAGGATGCTTTTTACCAACTACAGGCCAGTGTCTCTGACGTGTGTTTGTTGTAAGGTTTTTGAACACGTCATTGCCAAACAGATGGCTATTTTCTTGGAGACAAATGGGCTGATATGTAGGCAACAGCACGGGTTTAGGCAAGGGCTTTCCACGTTATCCCAACTGATTGAAACTCTCCACGATTTTGCCGCTGCCGTAGATAACAGAGAACAAGTCGACGTGATATGCATAGACTTTGCAAAAGCCTTCGATAAGGTCTCCCACCATAAATTGCTCTTCAAGCTCAAACGAACAGGCGTAAATGAAAATATCCTGAAGTGGATTGAAGCATACTTAACGAACCGCAAGCAGTTGGTACGAATTGATGGGTTTGAGTCTGAATCACTTGATGTTTATTCCGGTGTGCCCCAAGGCTCCGTGTTGGGCCCATTGCTGTTCTTGGTGTATATAAATGATGTTGTTGACATTGTTAACCCTCCTGTAAAAATTAAATTGTTTGCTGATGATTGTTTAATCTATGCCCCAGTGACGTGTGCGAATGACCAAATTGTAATTAATGATTGTCTTGATGATTTTCAAACATGGTGCGACAAATGGGAGATGAAAATAAATTATTCTAAGACGAACATATACGCATATAACTACCAAGAAACACGTTTTACCATTTACGTACAGCATTGGACCTAATTATTTACCGCAGGTGTGTGCATTTAAATATTTGGGAGTGCATATTACGAATGATTTGAAATGGCGTGCACATGTCGAGAATGTATGCTGTGCCTCTTACAGAAAACTGCGTTTCTTGCGTGCTAAATTACCGAATGCTACGAAAGACGTCAAGCTGCTTGCATATAAAACATTTGTGCGCCCTGTTTTAGAATATGCTTGTGCTGCATGGAGCCCCCACCAAAAGGATTTAATAGATAAACTGGAACGAATTCAGAGACTTTCCGCGCGATTTATATGTTCGAAGTATAAAAGGACTGATTCGGTTACCGAGATGCTAAAACTAAGTGGTTTGGAATCTCTAGAAATTAGACGACAAAAGCAGCGCCTAAAAGTATTTTTTCAGATATTGCATGGTCAAATAAAAATAGATAAAACAATTTACGTACACCCCCCGCATAAGCTCAGCAGCCGGATCAATCATGACGCGGCAGTTCGCCCCTTCGGTGCTCGCACGGACGTCTTTCGCAAATCTTTTTTCCCTGATGTTATAGAAGCGTGGAATAAATTGCCGCGACATATTGTTGAAAATTCTGACGTTAAAAAATTTGAATGTGCTCTTGATGTTTACTTTGCCGAGCAATGAATATGCTATTGTGTTATTGTTCAAAGTGCTGAAAATATCAATGTCTGTATTTACTTTCCATATCCTATGCTTCCCTCCCTGTAATGACCCTCAAGTGAGGGTTGACAGTATAAATAAATAAATAAAATAAAAATCACTCACTAAGCAAACTACCCTGACACTACAGGCTTCTATTTTTTCAAGCACAAAAATAAACAACTAGTGAAGCTGTGGGCCTGTTAACTCCTTGGTAAAATAGTAGGCCACTGGGAGGCGGTACGACGTCGAGAGTCCTGTAATTAGGAAGCAGAGTTTGCTAAGGTGAGGTCCCCACCATGCGTTTCCAAAGAGACATCTGCATGCCCCACAAAGCAGTCCTACTGTTTGTTGTACTGCAGCTTTTCCCTGATCTTCATTTCGTCGACTATGAGTGAACACACCCTTGACTGTGGTACAGTCAAGCTTTCGGCTTCTACTCTAAGGCGAGCTTCGGCGAGTTTGCTGAAGCCTGTTTCTCCACTGGTGGTTCCAAAGTAGTTGCTCAAAGTCTTTCTGCAAGGAAGCTTCAAAAGCATTTCACCGCGGATGGGTTCGTACGCCCTTGTCGACAGATGCCTTAAAACTACACAATGTCGGGTTGTCTCCTCAGACCAGCTCGGC